CGAATAATGTCCCTGGCTTCATGTCTGAAAACACAATAATCATACATACATGTAAGTTAGAGCAAAATATAAGAATGACAGTACAATACACAAACCAAGTGCATCCAGCCATGTAGAGTCCATGAAAGAATATTTATTTGTTAACATCACAACAAGATGTGGGTTGTAACAACTACAGAGAAATGAAAAGAATGGCAAAGAGAGAGGAATGGAGAGCTGCAACAAACCAATCTAAGGTGGCTACATTACATTATGACCAATCACTGAGTTGGGCCAAGAAGGCAACAAAAACTATGAGGACTTTGAGACTTTCCTTGAAAAAACTGGTCTTTGAATTTACAAAAATTTTACACTACTAACATTTTGTATCCACTCCCCCCAACAAAGCATCATGGTTGGAAGATCTGACAAATACTGACCAAGACAAAGACTGGTTGAAAATAGGGCAGCAGGTACCAAACCAACAAGTTCTACTCATAATCACTTTGCCACTCAGAATACTATAATTGGAATGCAACAATTTGCTTACACTACAAATCTGAACTAGAGTCCAGTTGCTAACTAACCTATACAGCGTTGTCTGAAGCGAGGTCACACTTGTGGTGGTGTGCGTGTTTGCATAGTGTGGGAGAACTTCCTCCTTAAGAAAGTCTTCAATGTAGTTCACAGCTCGTCCTGAAGCAGTGTAGTCACAATACACAACTGGAAGAACAAACACAGGAGAACATTTGAAGTCTATGATTGAAAAACTTTATGAGGTAGTCAAGGAACGAACACAAACTTGGTGCATTCACACAACTTTACTGAAAACCAGGTGAAGTAAAAATACAAAGATGATAAGCCTACAACTCCAGTAGACCTACATATACGATGGACACAAAGTTTACCAAAAATAAAAAATTCTACAGGCTTAGCAACAAAAGCTACTAAGTTGAATCTTTGCAAGAAGATAGTAGAAAAGTGAACTTTTTTTCAAGAGCCACTTGTTTGTTTTGAATAAGAATAGCATGGAGACACCAAGCAAATATTAATTTCCTTTATGTTTTCATTGATTTTGGTTCAGTTTATTCCAAGAATTCCATGGATTCTGCTATCTTTTCTTTCATTTGTGGGTGAATAATGCCTGAGAACTTTGACAAAAGTGATTAATAAAATGTCACAGTAGAATCTAAAAGAAATAAAAATTATTTCATTGATGGATATAAAGAGTTCCACTCAAGTGCAAAGAATTATTACCTTTCAGGGCACATTTTAACTGGGAACCTCCAGCAAAATTCACAATCAGAATATTAATGAAGAAGTTTCCTGAAACAGAAAGTGTGTACAACGGCACACACTGGTGTCCACCTTGAGCAGGTCAAAGATAGAGAAATTTTTGAAAATGTGAAGAAAGAGTAATTTTTTAAATTATTTTCCCAGCTGTCTTTTTGAGGTTTTTATAAGTTAGATTACAGAAAGAAATATACAGGGTGTTCCATAAATAGGTACCCATTATTATTTCTTGAATACAACAAGCATACACAACTTTCCAGTTGAAACTTATATGGAACAGTTAGAGTAATCTTTAAAGTTTTGTTCAGTACTTAACATGTCCAGCTTCTCTTTCAATTTACTTTTTTTTCATCAAGAACAGAGTTTATGCCACTTGCCCACAGTCCTTGGATGAGCTACGAGATTGCATTACTAATGTTCAGGGCATATCCTGTGTCATCTGGGCAGAAGTTAAGGATAATTTTGTTCATAGTCTCCAGACTTATATTGAAAGAGAAGGTGGACAGGTTTAGCACTTAACAAAACTTCAAAGATTACTCTAACTGTTCCACATAAATTTCAACTGGAAAGTTGTGTATGTATCTTGTATTAAAGAAATAAAAATGGGTACGTATTTACAGGACACCCTGTATATTCAAGAAGTACATAGCAGAAAATAAGGATCTCATTGCTAGCAGAACTAGAGAAGCTGCATTACTTTTAATTCTTTACATTTAATTTTTTTTTTTTAAGCTTGAGCATGCTTCCCAAGCCTTGTTGAACCCAGAAAACTAAATAGAATATTTTCACAACATAAAACATGAAAAAGACATGAAAGGGTGAACTCAACTAAATTGCACCAAACA